ATCAGCACAGTACATGTTTTAGGTAAACATAGCTTGTAGAGGTGCTCACTTCGAGGTGAGTATGATGGACTTGAGTGGTGATGAATCTCAGTATCAGGAAGACTAAGCTTGGCGGTGTAGGTGCTGGTTCTTCCTTCATATTTCTGTTTTGCTTCATTTTCAGCAAGTTTAATAAAACAACCTCTCTTAGGACTAGGTTGCTTGTCTACTGGTTCACCAAAACAAAGAGCAGCAACAACAGCTTCTAGCTCCTCCACCTTATGTTTAAGATAGCTAACACGTTTCTCCACCACTTCTAGACTAATATGTTTGTCTGCTTCACACTGCTATCGACTTTCTCTTCACCCTTACTTGCCATAGTCACAGAGTTACTTCTTACACATCAAGGTAGTATTTTAAATAATGAATGCAAGTGGAATATGAAATTTCTAACACTCTACCCTCCTTTTATATCAGCCAAGAGTGTTACAATATATTCCGTAGAGGTTAATTGGAGGTGTCTTAAAATAAATTTCACATAAACAATATTAAAAGACTCATTATAAAAACCCTTGGAAAACAATTTGCACTCTTTCAGTTCACAAGTGATAGCATTAAATTATACAGCTCATATATGTAAAATTTAGGTTATTCATACCAGCCTTTCACTATCAAACTTATCTAGTTATATATAAAATGCTTAAACAACACACTACCAAGGCACATTCAAGCTAAGGTATCATTAACACTGTAAAAGATAAAGATGCTTGGTATAAATGATAATTAATTCCAATCATATGATTAAATTAGCAAGCTAATGGATAAAATAGGACAACATCGTAAATCTGAAATGTAAGAAGATGTTTAATTTGATACAACATAGTAATTCAGGCAATAATAGAAAGGTTATCAATACAGGCGCCTAAATTAAATTCTAACCATTACAGTACTGTTATTCTGTCCTTCTTAAGTGCATTATTAGGACCAATTACATTAATCTTAAACAATAGAATATCTTCAATGTCTTACACTAGCACCAGATCTATATCAAAGACTGCAGGATTCCCTCTACGATAATTATTGCACCTTCATCTGTCTGGACATTATACCGTGCAGTGAAATCCTTAACACCACTTAGTAACTCACACTTAGTGACCAGACCATCCTTCTTCACAACTTTCAGCTTAGCAGGAAATTGTTCATCAAAATTCTGAAGCAAAACGTTAGTTGATTCACCAAATTTACCAAGCCAGTAGTTGGCAAAGTCAACAGGAACATTCTGCAAACAAAGGCATCAAAGTAAATAGGGTTTCTTCATCAGATAAAAGGGTGTACAGCACACAACAATTACATTAACATAATTGATACTTATTAGTAGCACTTATTATTGCCCCTTTCTTAAGGTAAGCTGCAGTGAAGATGAATTTGAAATGTGGCTCAGGACAGCTACGTGCAAGGTCATCAATCTACTCATTTGTCTCAATCATCTTTCTGAATTGCCATGGTAAGCAGGTGTACGTCCACGCCTCTTACTCGAACCACTATTGCTCTTGCCAGCACCAGAACCACCTGTTTTCTTGCTTCTTGATGGCCTTAGAATCTGCACAGTGAAAGAGCTATTCCCTATATACGTAAATTTTAAACCGTCACCAGCACTTATCCCATTACCTTTAACAAAATTGATCCAGCCATCTCCTAACACAGTGACTCAATCATCTCTGTCCTCTTCATGTGCCATAGTAGCTTGCAAAATTTTAGAGTGACCATGCACTTACAGGCCAACACCTTTAAAGCCATCATAAAATGTCCTTGAATTCATCAGGAATGCGTTGTAAATGAATATGCATTATCAAAACATCAACCAAAATATTAAATTAGCAAGGAGAAAACAGAAGCATACAGATATTAGCCTAACCAAATCACATACATACAACTACATTTCATACAAGCATAACAACAATAACAGCTTTAAAAATATATATCTCATACCAACTTATCTTCCTGATTTCCTTCATAACAGATTGTGAACGTAGGTGCAAAATTAGCCATCCAAGTGCCTAAACGTATTACTTATATAAATGCTTACTTAGCTTATAATCATAATTCAATGGCTAATTTGTATTTGATAGCAAACAATGATCTATATAGAACTAAAACATTGTTAGAAATTTGTATCACATTAAATGCAATTAAATATAGCTTTGACAAGAAAAGACTTAAGCAATATCCTGTTTTCAGAAGCTAAAACAGAACTCGAATTCAAGATTCTTTCCCAAGAGTCATATCAGCCATAATGACAAGTCAAGTATGTTCAAAAGAGGTATAATGATCTCTATCAATACAACATTAACTTATATTCCTCTTGATACACTGTAAATACCTTCTAATATAGCAACTTTTTTTTTTAATACCTTTTATTTATGACTATAGTCCAACATGTACACACGCAACTTATTTATCTCCAATATGCTATGCAAAACTTTATGTGTAATGCCCACTGACAATTGCTAACTAATTTAGATCGAATTACTGACTATCCAATCTACATATTAGTCAATCTCTAACATTACTTAACTAATGAACTTTATCCATTCATGGACATTAATGACACTCTATACAACAAGTTCACATAGAATGAGCACTAATTGTACTTCATTTTTATTCACTTTCACAAATGCTAAAGTAATACATTAAGGTATATGTACAACATTCCTCCTTAAACAATAAGATAGATAACTACTTACAATTTGTTACTCTATATTCAATGAGATGCATAATTATAAGTATATCAAATCAATATATATGACATATAAAATATGCAATACTTAGAATTTGTTATAATAACACAAACTTTCATGATACATGTAAGTCAATAATACGTATTGAAAACTATGAAATAATAGTTATCTAAATTGTTGACTTATTTGAACACATAATATTATGTGATTAAAAACTACGCAGGCAAGGAAAGCAATATGAAACATATTTCGCTTTTAAATGACTTGCTTACATATGTATCTCGTAAATTCAAACACAAAATAATGGTTAATCCAAATATATTTATTTACAACTTCCTTGATAGCATCTTAATTTTGATTAGCACTAAACAAGTAATATCAAAGATGCAAAGAGATATATGATGATATATCTAATATAGAGATATTACCACAATAAACAATGGTGGTTGCCTGATAATGAAATTCAAGAAGGTTACTTAGCAAACAAGGTTCTCAAATATTCTCTATCAATTGCATCATATGTGAGAATTTGTACTCGTTTTCACTTGATATTATGTGTTCTCATTTGGTAAAAAGGAACAAATTGGTATAATTCCTGATTTGAATAAACTTGTATGCTTATATAAAAGGAAAACAAAATACCCTTTGCATTAATTAACATCCAATCAACTTTATATAGCCAAATAAAACTACTTTTCACTTGTCAATTCTGCTTATTTTAAAGAGTTTTAATAAAAAAAAATGACTATACCATCACCTAATCACATATGATACAATGAAAAAGGTAGTTGTTTCATAAGGAAAAGAGAGAGATAATAAATGAATTATTACTCTTGTAATGAGGATAATAGTTATACACCTATCCCCTAGTGTAACTATTACCCTTAAAATAAGCCTCTTTCTTCACCTCATACCTCACTAAAATAAGGGCATGTTCTCTTCAGCTTAATTCTATTTCAGTTTAGTTTAGTTCAATTCCTAATTTCCTTCACTCATAAACAATTCATTTCAGCTCGGTTTAGTTTAGTTTAGTTTAGTTCAGTTCAATTCGATTCAGTTTAGTTCTATAAATCAGAACAGACCCTAAGGGCCTGTTCTCATTGACGGAACTCAGCTGAACTGAACTGAACTGAATTGAACTTATTAGAGCTGAACTGAACTAAACTAAACTAAACTAAACTGAAGTGAAATGAATATTTTATAAGAGAAGGGAATTAGGAGTTGAACTGAACTTATTAGAGCTGAACTGAACTGAAAATAATCGTATGAGAACATGCTCTAAGTCGTGTGTACAACGGGTGTACATTAATTTTATTGTAAAACGGTCAATTTGAGCATAACTTTAACTATTTTTATGATAACTTTAACCACTTAAGGGGTAATTTAATTTGACGTTGGTTTGAATTTTATTTTAATGTGTAATTTATTATAAACACGTGATTACATACTGTAAAAACTAAGGGCCTGTTCTCATACGTTTATTTTCAGTTTAGTTCAGTTCAGCTCAGTTCAATTCAGTTCAGTTCAGCTCAGCTCCTAATTTCCTTCTCTTATAAAATATTCATTTCAATTCAGTTTAGTTCAATTCAGTTAAGTTTAGTAAGCTGATTTCAGTCTATTAGAACAGACCCTAATACATTATAAGTTTTTTGTAAGATAAAAATTATTACTTTGTAATAGAATATTAACAACTTTTACGGTATAAATAGTAACTTTAAGTATTTTTAATATAATTTTAACCTGTTTCACGATAAATTAACATACACCAACTTTTTTTTTTTTGAGAATTTTTATACATCACTATTACTAAATACTACTTTTGGTCCAAATTACTCGCAACTTTAGAATATTTTATATCTCACAAATAATACCTCAAAGTTGCGAGTAATTTAGACTGGAGGTAGTAATTTTTTAGGTCATTACTATCTCCTCCTCCGCTGTTTACTTTCAATTTGCTTAACTTGGACTTTTATTGCACTACTCTTAATACATCCCTCCATCCAAGCATGACTTTAGTAATATTTGAAGAGTAGCTTGAATGAGTATACAATATACTAGTACTGAAACTCGCTACTAATTTCTTGCAGACACCGGCATGTGAGCCCAAACCCATTTCAAACACGCTTTTGTTTTTTTTCTTTATGGCCCTACTCCTTCACCGACACGCCATTTTCCTTTTTTTTTTTAATTTCTTTTTCTAATTTAATTTCCACTTGATTTGATTAATAAAATTTAACTAAAATAATAATCAGAGATATCTTAAAATCTTAAATCTTCTTCTTTTCCCTCCCATTCTCTCTCCTCCTCTCTGTACCGCATTTCTCAAACCCCACCTCTCTCTCTCTTTACTCTTTCTACTTATAAAGTTATAAACTTAACCCCATCAAAAATAAATACCCATTTTATTTCAGAAATCATACCAAATTTTTTAAAAAAAAATCCATTTTTTTAAAATAAATAAATAAAAAAGCAATGCGTTTGTTTTTGAATTTGAGCATTGCTGCTCTGTTATTCACCATTGTTATTGCTGAAGATCCTTACAGATTTTTCAACTGGAATATCACTTATGGTGATATTTACCCTCTTGGTGTTCGTCAACAGGTTCATTTTTCTTCCTTATTTTTCTATTTTTTTTGTTGGTTTTCTCAAAAATTTAAATTTTAAATCTTGGGTTTTTGTTTTTCAGGGTATTTTGATTAATGGGCAGTTTCCTGGACCAGATATTCATTCAGTAACTAATGATAATCTCATTATCAATGTTTTCAATAGTCTGGATGTTCCATTCCTTCTTTCATGGTAAGTTCGGATTACTAATATCGGTTTTTTTTTCACAAAATCACGGGTCGATCCGTGTTATTAATAATGCTTAGCTATATTAAGTATCTCTTAATGCTTATTTAACTGTGGAAGGTACGATCTTGTTATTGACATTGATTACATTAATGGCGGCATTAGTGTTCCTTTATTTTTAGTAAGCGAGTAATCTACAATTCAAGAATACTGTCAAAAAGATTACTTTATGAGAAATTTGTTAATTGGGTGTCACTAACTTTTATGTCTGGTTGTTTACACGTGAAAATTGGATCGTATTTTAGTATTCCTAATTTTTTTATTTAATAAAAAAAAAATGTGAATTTTTGTCTTAGATCTAAGTTAGGGATCCACGAGTGACGGGTCGGATTCGGATCGGATGTCTGTATTCTTGTGAGCCTTTTTGCTACATCCGGATGCTCCATCTTGTTTAGTTATGCTGTAATTATCACTAAGATTCTTCATTAACTAATTTCTTTCCTTTTCTTTCTCTTTTTGAAAGTATAAAAGTGTATTTATCTTATCTTTTACTATTATTCCCATACTTTATTTTTTTAGTTTTGTTGATGTGACTAGTGTGACACTAACCTCTTTGATTAGATCAACTACGGAGTTTTAATTAAGAATATGATTACAAGATTATGCAATGGTCGACGTTATGATTTTTCAAAGACAATATTTATCGATGTCAAGGCAAATTTTGAACTAAAACAGCGTTGCTTGTAGTGAATATTGCTTTGGAAAAATCATCATCGACTCATCATCGTTGTATAGTAAGTAGGTTTTTAGCTTGGAAAAGTACACTCTTACGTTACTCCGTAAGTAGTAACTAAAACACGTTATCTAAGTAACAAAAGTCTTACAATGTGATTATGAAGCACATTTTTAGATCTATCAAATCTAGTAAAAAAATGTGTTATATTGACTTTTCAGTCAAAATTGAGTATTATAGTACAGATGTGAAGTCTGACAACTCAAGCTATAGTTATTATTAATACTTATTTCTTAATGACAGGGTAATTATGAGTTAAGATAAGATATTGGAATTTAAAATTAGCTAAACATGAATGAAGTGAAGTCTTGGGTGGTTGGTTAATCATGCACATTTTACCCATTGTAAGGGATTCATTTAATCTAGGATGATCCATTTTGGCTTGTTATGACATGAGGGTCCATACTTTAATGTTGTATAGTAAGCCGGTAAAAATGGGACCCACTGAAATAATGTACCACCTTCACAACCATTCCTATAATGTTGAGATTCTGTTGGTGCTAATTCAATAATTGTTTGATCACTGTTTGCAATTTTCTGAAATTTATGTTGTGGGGTTGAAACTAAATGATACAAAAGGAATTGAATAAATGTTTAATTTGTGTTTTCAAAGCTTCATTATCAAAATGATATAGTATAGAGCTGATCATGGGTCGGGCCTGGCCGTGGCCAAAAAAGACGGTCCTTTTTTCCCAATGCATCAGACCAGACTGTCCAAAAAAGTCGGTCCTGTTTCCGCAATGCATCAGACCAGACTGGCCAAAAAAGTCGGTCCTGTTTTCGCAATGCATCAGACCAGACTGAAAAAGTATGTAAGCCTAGTATAAGCTCTTAAGACTACCTTAATCACTGGAAAAAATTCCTAAGTTGCTAATCAGTGACATACAGATAATGGAGCTGAATCTGAGATACAGGATGATAATTGAGTAGAGGATGATATTTGATTGTGTTATTTATACAGCTTGATAATTGAAACACATGATAGTTATTAACAATGGTCCAGCGTTTCTTGTATCTAATCATCAATCTTTAAGATATATATCTGTGTAATGTTAGTTGTAGCTTAACAGTACTTTGTTCTGGTGGGTTTGGCAGGAATGGAATTCAGAACAGGAGGAATTCCTTCGAAGACGGTGTATATGGAACAACTTGCCCAATTCCTCCAGGCAAGAACTTCACTTACATTCTCCAAGTCAAGGATCAAATTGGTAGTTTCTACTACTTCCCTTCTCTTGGATTCCATAAGGCTGCTGGTGCTTTTGGAGGTATTAGGATCCTTAGCAGACCGAGGATTCCTGTTCCATTCCCTGACCCTGCCGGTGACTACACAGTTCTTATCGGAGACTGGTACAAGTCTAACCACACCGTAAGTCTCATTTCCCCTTAATCTGATCAGTTTTGTGTACAAAGTTTATGGATATAGATTTCACTTGTACCTTTGAAGGAATGTATCTCTATTTGTTATGAACTTCGGCTACTGCTTTATATCCTTCCATATGAGTAGCTAGATAATAGGAATACATAAAATACATAGGGGCTGATAAATAATTTGTTTGGTGCTTTTACAGGATTTGCAGAAGACCCTTGACAATGGACACAAGCTGCCTAACCCAGATGGAATCCTAATCAATGGGCGCGGTAGTGGTGCCACAATCAATGTTGAACAAGGTAAAGACATCATACAGCTGTTCATCTGCATATTGTATGCTTAAATCCATGCCTTGAATTAAAAGGATCGTCTTTTGCTTTTGACAGGGAAGACATACAGACTCAGAATCTCCAATGTCGGCCTGCAAAACTCACTCAACTTCCGTATTCAAGGCCACAAGATGAAGCTTGTGGAAGTTGAAGGAACCCACACCCTCCAAACCTCCTTCTCCTCACTTGATGTCCACGTGGGACAGTCCTACTCGGTGCTCATCACTGCTGATCAGCCCCCAAGGGACTACTACATTGTAGCTTCATCCCGTTTCACCAATCCTGTGCTTACTACAACCGGTTTCCTTCGTTACTCCAACTCCGGAGGCTCAGTCCAAGGTCCAATCCCTGGTGGACCCACAATCCAGATTGACTGGTCCCTAAATCAAGCCCGTTCTGTCCGGACCAATCTTACTGCAAGTGGACCAAGGCCCAACCCACAAGGGTCTTACCACTATGGTATGATCAACACTACTAGGACTATTAGGTTGCAGAACTCTGCAGGCCAAGTAAATGGTAAGCAGAGGTATGCTGTTAACAGTGTGTCATTCATCCCTGCTGACACTCCCCTTAAGCTCGCCGATTACTTTAAGATTGGAGGAGTTTTCACTGTGGGTAGCATCCCCTACAACCCCACTGGCTCAGGGATCTACCTTGCCACCTCTGTCATGGGTGCTGACTATCGATCCTTCATTGAGATTGTTTTTGAGAACAATGAAGATGTAGTTCAGAGCTGGCATTTAGATGGTTACAGCTTCTTCGTTGTTGGGTAAGTCACGTAACTACTTGCAACAATTAAGATTTCTTGCACTATATGTATGTCTAGTACTTTTAACATTGATTTCAATATTTAACAATGAATTTTTGGGAAACAGATTGGATGGTGGTACCTGGTCACCAGCCAGCAGAAACCAGTACAATCTTCGTGATGCACCTTTCCGTTGTACCACACAAGTATGAAAAAAATAACATGCATTCCAATAAATTTTATTTTTTTCTCTGAATATAGTGTATACTAGAATGACTAACCTAATAAATCTTACATATGACTATTAATGTAGGTGTATCCTAAGTCATGGACTGCAATCTATTTGGCATTGGACAATGTGGGTATGTGGAACTTAAGGTCAGAATTTTGGGCGCGACAGTACTTGGGACAACAATTCTACCTCCGTGTCTATACACCATCAACATCCCTAAGGGATGAATACCCCATTCCCAAGAATGCTCGTACCTGTGGAAGAGCAGCAGGCAGGCGCACAAGGCCTATTGCTTAAGCAGTTAAGCTAGCTAGTTAAGTGAGTTTGGTAACTTATTTCATATATAATTTTGTTGAGATGGAGCAAATAGATAAGCAAAGCTCTTGCTTTGATTTGCATTAGATTCTTTCAGGTGCTAAATTAGCACTAGTTAGTCCCACGATGAGGCCTGTATTATTAGTACGTACAATTGTGTTGATACGACCTCCTCTCAAGGTCGCATTCTTTAAAAGTTAATAATATTGTTCTTCAGATATCTCTATTTGTTTTTGCTCTTTCAATAGATGTACTAATCTCTTTTGATGAATGGTACGGAGTATGTTTTAGGCAGGAGGATTGAACAATATTGTACTAAAAAATGGGATTTCATATTTAGCTGTTGATGCCAATCTCAAAGTTGTGAATGTAAAATCAAATTTCAAACCACAGTGGAGCAAGTAATTGTAACTCAAGCTATCTAACAACAATCTTAAGTGTAATCATTAGTGAGAGTGAAGTGGTAAAGTTAATGGCATTAATAGCGCATAGCATGAGACTTATCTTCTAAAATGTAAGGTGTATCTGGGTGTATATAACAAATTCCGGTTGGCTTGACATCAAAGATAATTTATTTATTTATTTTTTTTTTCTTTCCCTTTATACTTAACTTTTATGTTCCTTCTAACTAACCCAATATTGTGTAAAGAGCATGTGAAATGTGATTGGACATGATTTTACTCAAACCTTCATCGTAAAATTATTCGAATAATCATTGCATTAATTAAGTTGTGTGAAATTCAGGTTTGCGACTCAACCTTGGTTTTCTTTCTTGTATTTTATTTTGGAAATTTTGTTAAAAACTATGAGTACCTATTAGAATACCACTTTTGGAAACAACTATATTTTAAAATTATTTATTTGTAAGAACCTATCATAAAAACTGAATAAGTTAGGGTAGCACTACTAATTATCAATTTTCATTCAAAAGAATCAATTATTATACCCTAATTTGAATAACTAAACCTTATTTTCCCAAATTTATAAACCCTAATCCCAAATTCAGAAACTAAATCACCTAAATTTATGGACTCTTATTTGAAAGATTAGTAAAACCTAATTTGGTCCCCAATTGATAAACAATAATTCCGATCCCTCAAATTTCAAATTTATTATACCTAAATACTATTATAAATATAGATCAAACATCTATTATAAATCTAAGCCTCTAAATTAATTTAAGAACCCTAAACACACCCTTAACCTCTAAATTAAAGTCCCTAATTTCACAAATAAGATAAAACCAAAATTCCTTAACATGAAGACCTTGATTTCTTAAAATGATAAACTTGAGATTTGCGTTTACAAATCTAAGAAATATATAGCCTTTTTAAGATTTTATTTGTTGTAGGAATATCATAGGGATGGCAGTGGGTCGGGTCAAATGGGAGAATTGCCCCATCCCCGTCTCAATGGGAAGGGGATGGAAGACATTTGGTGGGTGATAGGGTGGGGTCGTGGGGATGGGTATAAAAAGTGCACTGATGTGTTTATTTTATATAGTATTTTACCCCCGTCCCTCGGTCATCATTAGTAGTGTTTATGGCTTTTTAGAGCCACTTTTATTACTAATTGGTGTTTTCTAGTGTTTTCGTAGATTTGGTTGACTTTTGTAGGGATTTGCACGTTCGGAGCATTTCCCGAGATATTATGGAGCAATTACGAGCATTGGAGAAGCACGACCAGATTCTATAGCCTAGGGCCGGTTAGAGCCATCGAACCGGTGATTAAGGGCTCGGTATATGTGATACCGGGGCATTTGGACCAAGTATTCAAGACCTGAAGAGGAAATCCAGATTGGCCCGAAGAATTGGAGCCCAATCATAGTCCAAATAGTGGCCCAAGAGTGCCTCCCGGCCAAAGAGGCTGGCGACCGGAGGCACGCCCGGCCGGGCGAGGGAAGCAAGGTTGTCGCCCGAAGTCGCGCCCGGCTGGGCGCAAGAAATGTACCTGATGGAGAAAAGGCGCGCCCGATCGGGCGCGTGTTATTATTAGATGTTAATTATTCGACGTTTAAGTTTGTTTTAGTTTAGGATTCTTACTTAGTATAAATAGTTTCCCGTCAGTTTAGTACCTACTACTACTCTTCCTTAATTATTTCTTAGATTTTCTCTCTCTACTTAGCTTTAGATTAGTTTCTCTCTCATATATTTTGTTCTTAACTCTATTCTTAATTCCAGATTTATTTGGTAACGATTTCTCTTCTCTTGATATTAGTTATTTATTTCATTCTTTTGATCATGTCTTGTTTTATTACTTTGATTTGTTTAGATTTAATTATGTGTGAGTAGTTTTATTTCTAGGGTTTGTGGGGATCCTTAAATAATATGAAAGGGTAATTTATTGTTGTTGATTATCAATGCTAGATTAATTTCCTGTTGATTGATTTAATGCTCTGTGACTAGATTTGCGCAGATCTTTTATGCATGAGTTTAACAATATTGATTCGAGATTCGACATATGAGAATTGATGTTTAGGTCTAGTTTCAATAGGCAGGTTAATTTATAAATGGTTAAGTCGAGATTCGAGAGATGAGATTTAATACCGGTAAATAAATTGTGTGGTTGTAATACGTAGCGAAAGCCCTTTATGATCTGATTAATGTATGCATTGATGATTGATTATTATGTTTTAACCTGGAATATTATTTATTGGTGAACCTATGCCATAGGCCTTTTATTCATTGTTTTTCCTCCTACTTTTATTCTTTCCTACTTTTACTCTTAGTAGTTTTATTTCCTTTGATTATAATATTTTGGTTACTTTATAATCTAGATTATTTTAATTAATTAGGAATATAAAGACTCGTTTCTCTGTGGATTCGACCCTACTTCCCTGTCTATATTAGTTAGAGGATTTAGGAATTACTTTTGATTAGGTGATACGACTTTAGCCTGTCAAAATTTGGCGCCGTTGCATGGGAAACGGTTTTATTTTTATTTCTGATTATTTTTGTAGTCTAGGTTATTTCTTGTTGTCTCAGAGAACGTTAGTTCTTTGAGGCAAGTCTCATATTTGCTTTTAGTTTTTTTTTTGTTTATGCCCAGGTGTTCCAGATCAGGATACATCCCATTCGATCCTGAGATCGAACGATGCTTCCATAGACAGAAGAATTTTTACAAGCAAATTCTGGCGGATTCTGGTGATAATAATAATCACCGGGACCCTCCAGCTGATTCTAGCGATTTAGAGGTATCATCATATCCAGAATCAGAGATGACGGCTCCAACGAATCTTAGTGATTACTCACAACCAAAGCTTACAGATTTTCCACACCTCACTCCCACTCCGGCTCTTGATGGGGTACAATTTGAGATTAAACCCCAATTTATAACGATGATAGAGAGGAAGCAATTTAGTGTAGCTAAGGGTGAAGACCCAAATCTTCACATTGCAGACTATTGTCAGTATTGTAATACCATCAGGCAAGTTGGGGTCACACAAGACCAAATCAGGGAGATTCTCTTTCCTTTTTCTTTAACTGGAAAAGCCAAATTATGGTTTAATGGTTTAAATAGAACTGCACTTGGTATAACTGACTGGGAAACTCTTGTTTTGAATTTTTATAACAAATATTATCCCGCAGAGAGAGCAGTTGTACTGCGGAGTGCAATTCAGAACTTTGCCCAAGAAGCCGATGAAACTTTATATGAGGCTTGGGAGAGGTTCAAGGACCTACAAAGAGAATGCCCCCACCATAATTTGGCACAATGGCATTGGAAATTCATCTAGAATAATCTTAGATTCTGCAGCTAGTGGGAGGTTTATGAATCTTAATGTTGATGATGCAGGTCAGGTTATTGAAGATATGGCGATACATAATTCCCAATATGGGAATCCTAGAGGCTTTGCTAATAAGGGGAAGCATAGTGTCGACTCTGTATCCTTTTTGCAAGCTCAATTAACTTCTATCTGCCAAAAATTAGATAATCTTAGCACTGCTGATGTAGCTAATGTTTCTACAATTAATAATAATGCTAATGAGGCTTTCTGTGAAAATTGTGGAATTTTAGGTCATTGGGAGCAAGATTGTAGGAGTTCCGTGGAGCAAGTTAATGCCTTTCAAGCTTATAGGCAGAATAACCCATACTCCAACACCTACAATCCTGGGTACCGGAATCATCCGTACCTTTCCTACCGGAGTAATGTTCAAAATCCACCACCACAAGAACCACAGACGCCACAACAAAAACAGAAATATATTACCATCCCAATGCTGGCCAGAAGAACCAACCACAACAACCCTCCTCATCTTCCGACCCTGCTTTGGTAGAATTTAGAGCGATGCTGGTTTATATGCATAAGCACATGGAGAGTAGAGATGCATAAATTGATTCAATTCTAGCACACAATAAAATTGTAGATAATCAAATTGCGCAACTTTCCGCTACTCTACAAGCCCGCCAACAGGGAGCTCTGCCAGCACAACCAACCAGGCCTACGGATCAAGCCTATGTAATTACTCTAAGGAGTGGTTCAAACTATGAAGGGACCCCTATGCCCAGAGTTGATGAACATGTTTTAATAAATAATGCTAATCTTGATTCCGTTAAACCAGACAATGTAGCTAATAGCCCTGCAGGGATAAAGCATAGTACTAATATATCTAATTCTACATTGCAGGGTACGACTCCAGAGAAGGTGGCCACTCCAGATAAGAGCAATAATGCTCCAAGGCCAGTTATCAAACTTCCATTCCCCAATCGTCACTTGAAAACAAATTTGGACAAGCAGTTTGGTAAGTTTCTGGAGATGGTAAAAGATTTAAAGGTAACAGTTCCCTTCACTGAATTAATCACACAGTTTCCTGCATATGCAAAATTTATGAAAGAAATATTGATAAGAAAAAGGTCTATTAGTGAAGTAGAGGCAGTAGCTTTCACTGCAGAGTGTAGTGCCGTACTTCAAAATAAATCTCCACCTAAATTAAAAGATCCGGGTAGTTTTTCTATCCCTTGTCATATTGGCAATCTAATGATTGATAATTGACAGGGTAAAGTCGTATCCCCTAATCAAAAATAATTACCTAAATCCTCTAATTAAGGTAGATAGGGAAGTAGGGTCGAACTCCACAGGGAAACAGGTCTTTTTACTTCTAATTAATTAATATAATCTAAATTATCTAAGTAACCAATATTTTTATGAATAAAATCTAAACTAAGGAGAATAAGGTCGAAGGAAATAAAGTAGGGAGAAAATCAAATATTAAAAGGCCTAGG